ATAATTCCAAGATCCTACTCATGGGTACCTTTGCTGAAATCAGACCTGCATTTTAAAGGCATTCTCTTTTGCAATTAACTTCATATAACATGCTGTACCTGTGTGATGGATATTTTTCTTTTATAGAAGATATAATCATATTTTCCACTTTTTGATCAGTGACTGTGACTAGATCTGCTGGAGAACTTTTAATCATGACAGTTACTTCCTCTGTCAATGCCTCCCGGATTACCTGTGCAGAAAAATCTTTATATGATTATTTTGAAAACAGAACATGATAAATAATATTCTTAATTATCAGCAAGACTTAAGTTAAAACTTGTCTGTTGGAGCAAGGCATAGAAGCAGCAAGAAAAATTATACTAAAAGACTCAGATTCAATTCTTATTTTACAAGGTACAAACGGGTGGGATTTTACCAGTTCAGCCCGGTTCTATAGAACCGGTAGCTCCGAAGAGCAGCTGACACTGAACTGATTCGCTCCAAAGATCTTTGCTTTGGTTGGCCCACCTACCCGTCCGGGTACTAGGCTGTCCTTTATTCCCTGCTAAAGCAACCTTAGTTGCTTTGCGCGGCACAGCTGAGTGCTGCATGTCAGCAGGTTATTGCTTGCAGGAGAAATTGATTTACAAGTACTGCACGCACACGCTCACCGAACTGGTGTCATGCCGGTAAGATCCCATCCCTGGGTACAAACATTTGTAATGAATAAAAATGTAGAAAATGGAAAAACCCTTTTCAGATTATATTCAAGTGTCATGCATAACTAATACATACATGTATGAGGGCACTATAGGAAGTACACAATTTTATAGATGAATTGGTTGTTTTTAATAAGCTGACCATGATTTAAGGTTTCTAAACCTGGTATTTATTTTCATATTTTAAAGTATATGTGATCTCTAGTTTGCTCTGTAAAACTCTCATTTCTTTGTATTGCTTAGATAATAGAAAGAAATACAAGTCAGGTTCTTGAGCATGCACAACTTCTCAGAAAAGTTAATATTCTTAAGCAGAGATGGCAACTTAGGGCCTAGCTGACACAGGTGTCCCTCAATTCATTATTTTTATAATTCTTACAGCAGTACTGAAATATGTTAATACAGTTATTCATTATTGGTGACAAGCCACAATTTTCAAGCTGCAGAGGATAAATTTAAAATCAGTACTATGAACATTTAAACCATTTTTGAGGATGATATTTAAAAATCCCCTCTGATCCCAATAGAAAGTAAATTATACATACCTCTCCAGCTTTTCTTGCTAAAGCAATTGCGTAGTTCATGCATTCTTCCCAAGGATCAGCCATCTTTACCTACCTAGAATTTAATATTTCAGTTACTTTTAAGTTGTAAACTACTGTTTACAAAACTAACTTCATACTCTGGATTTCTCTTGTTCGAATTTTATACTTACATATACAAATTTTACACAAATTTTATACTCATGATATACAAATAAAAATTAACATTGGTCTGCCTGGTATCTTCCATAGAAGTTTTTTTAATTTAAAAGTTCAGGGATTTTGTTTGCTTTCAAGCATTGTTTTGTTCCAGAATTTGGGGGTCATAGCTAAAAAATATACACGTATTTGCTTAGAAGTAAAACCTACTGAATATGAAATGTTTTTCTATTTATGTTTAAAGGTGCAAGTCTTAAAAAACTATATAAATACTCTTAACAGGTTGATGCATAAAAAGGCTCATTACTTTATCCTTATCCTTTGCCAGCAGGTGAACCATGATAGTGGCCATAGGGAAGAACTGGTCTGACCTCTTCCTTAGCGCTTAGTAGACTCCCTATATGCATCAGAAAAGGCCTCTCTGCTTCAGATTGATTAGCTTCTATCTAGTGTTGCTCTGGGAGTACTTGCCTGCCCTCCTCCTTAATTATAACTAGAAAACACCAAATGGCAAAAGAGCATCTCTGGGAAAATTGAGCTTTTTCACCTTACCTTCACTGGAGCATCTTTTTTCCTATCTTCAAGCAGAGATTATTCCCACTATGTCAGGAGGCATATTCCTCCTCCAGCCAAGTTTGCAGACTGGATTTCATGACCTTTTTCTGCCTTTATCCCCCATTTCTAGCTTCCCCACATTCTATGGTTCTGAGATATGTCTGCCTTGCCTTATCCATCCTGCTGTTCCATGCAGAGGAAAGCTACCAGGAAATGAGCGGGTAGCATGGTACAACAGGATGGGAGTGGCAAGGCTATCAATGGGCATAGTCTTCTTTACTGTTTTCTTGGCAACAATATAAAATACTTTGCCACTTCCTTTTTCAGAATTGCATTTTTTTGCATTTTCCATTTTAGCATAAAGCCCTGGGATCTCCTAGTGGTCCCTCATCCAAGTACTAATCATGTCTGAGCATTTACCAGTAAGTCTTCACCTTCCCCTGCCCGCATAAGGTCAGCAAGAGGGTGGAACTGGACTAATGATCCTCTTCTTTCAATACTTCTTGATCTTCCCTCGGAGCAGAGTAAGTGATCTTGGAGAGATAATTCCTGGCTGACGAAGCTCCTTTGTGCTCTTGAATGCCATTTACTGCCTAACTGCCTGATCTAGCCTAGTGTACATTTTCTTTAAAAGTAGAAGTGGCACATCAAACAGTCCTTTCTCAGTGCCTATTTTCAAATAAAATTCAAGCCTTTAGGGGACAGTTATACAAGGAATGGTGGGGCATCTATGCTAAATCAGTTTCCAGGATCCAACGAGGACGTTTGTAGCTTTGAGAATTTTTTTTTTTTAAAAAGGGGGGCGGTTTAGGATTATCACTTCCTGTTTTGTTTGGCTGCTGTTTAAACAGAACTGAGCTGCAATTATGGTTTTTGAAAGTTCCGGCCTTGCATATTCAATGGATCTGTCGGGGGAGGGGCGGGCACGTTTTCCTGCTTCCATTAAATCCAGCGTCGGATTTTCTATGACCCAAAGCTCGACCTTAACATACATGACACCGTGATAAGGGAGTTATCAACGTATTGGAACGCAATCGATTCCGAACCCTACCAGCTGCTGTGTCAAAGCAATAGAGTTGGGAGAAAAGACCCCCCGCCCCCCGCAAAAAAAATCCTAGAATTAAATCAGATCCCCGCTTAGAACAGGCAATCTCGCCAGCCCGGGACTTACCGTTAGGAGGCCAATTTTTTGCAGCAGCTACCGGGTACTGGCAAAGCCGGTTGACTAGACACCGCCTCAGCAGCACCCACTGCGCAGGCGCTGCAAAGACTTAAGGTCTTCAGCCGTCCCTTCTGCTCCTGCGCTGCCATTGCAAATTGTCTGATAATGATCCAGGCAGCGCGAGTCTGAAAGAGCGAGGCCGGGCTCGTGCGAAGAATCGTGCTTCCATTGGCTGCCGAGAGTTCGGATGTTCGTGGGGGCGCGGCGAAATTCCACGGCCCCTTCCCCGGAAAATGAATCTTTCTTCTTACGCGTATTTAGCCGAGGGCTCTGCGTAGCTGCATAAAATTCGGGCATGTTTACCTTTCGATTCAGCCTGAATCGGGCACACCAAATAGGCGAGTAGATCATTTGTACTTTGTTTGCAAATACGAAGGGAAAAAATAAAAGCAGTTTTGATAGAGGTCCGTTTTCTTTTTAGCAATTTGCGCCTTTAATTGCTTCATTCTGTTTCGAAATTGGACTGGGTCGCTGAGTGTATTAGGGAATGGAGATAAAGGGCGGTTAGAAGGAGAGAACGGTATTCTTTTGATTGTAAAAAATATTTCAATAGAATTACGAAAAAATAGCATTGGGCATTGTCTCGTCGTCAAAAAGGAGCTGCTGGACACACTTGCCATGATTCCCCCCCCCCCCCCCAGTCTTATATTACTTTAATAAATATAAAACTCAAAGTAATTAACCTTGCTTATCAATGTATTTCAACACGATGTCTTTTCAAACTGCCCATGAGCAATTATTATTTTAATGTTTAAAAGATATTTTGAACACGCAGGTATATGTCCAACGCCCAATACTGTGATTCATTTGTTTTCCTTCTTTGAGAAACATTGAAATGTTTATATTGTGTACTAGATTAGCCAAACATAACTGTACAGCTAATGTACAATATCACCTATCAACCAAACCAAATTCCAAATCCCCTTTTTCATAAAAAGAGAAAATATATTGGAATATTTTAACATGATATTTTAACATGATTTGTAAAATATACATTATAATATATGAAAAAAAATGGCTTGGTTGTTCCAGATTTTTGTATGACTACACACAGCTTATAACAGAAACATTTCTACTTCCATAGCTGATAGAATTGCAAATTGACTGTCATAGTAGTGCATGTATCTGAAAACATTAATTACATTACTTCAAATATTTTTGACAAATAAAACTCAGGGTTGAAAAAGATTAAATTGTTAATAGTTGATACAATTGTAAGACACAATCATAATGTCCTATTGACATTTGAACCATTTAATTGATCCCAAATCCAGCGAATATCAAAATTAAATATGCAAGTGAACCATAAATAAATACAGAATGGTTTTCAAAATAAATATAAAAATTCCAAAAGAGCATCTATGACTGACTGACTTTACATAAGGCATTGTCAGAATCTTCAGTAAATATATTTGAAGAATTTGTGTAATTAAAACTTTTTTTGGTTGAAACCGTTACTGAAGAATGTGGCTTCTATAAATTGCTTTTGTATTAATAAAGCACCACTACTATCTAAACTGTATATGTGAGTCACTCTCCATTAGCTGGATCACAGGAGTAGAATGAGCAATACTTACTGAAGTACTCTTTAACAAAACTATCATGTACGGTATTTCCATTCTGGCTGAGAATGTTTTAGTTCCTATCATTATTTGATAAAAAATTTTTATTTACAACATTTATACAGTAGAACATTTTCAGACAACTCTGAAAAATTATTTTTCAAGACTATTTGTAGCAAGAGATAGTAAATAGGCAAAATTTTGTGACATAATCTTCCACTATGTTTAATAAATCCCACCCTGTTGCGATTTTATTTCAACTTCATTTATTTTATCTGGTTCAGAAAACAGCAGGCAAATAACACAATCATCTGCTGTACTTAAATACTAAATTGATAATAACCTACATGTAGGAATGCAGCAGCACAGATTAAGCACCACAGGTTGACTTTTCAGTTTAGTAGCTGTCAGTCTGAACTCTATTTTTCGATACAGGAGATGACATGTATGACAAATGTATTTGCCCACTTCAGAAAACAACAGACTAAATACAGATTTCTTTTTAAAGTGAATTTTCATTTCTTAGGAAAAATCACTCTTGTACCATAGAGCTAGCAAAACAAAAAGTTAAATCTGATACAATAAATACAAAAGCAATATTTTCCATAATTACTATAGATAAGAATCTGGATCTGCTAAACATTCAGTGTCATTATCAAGATATTCTAGGATTACATTCCCACCATTATACAGCGGCGATTCTTTAGAGTTTATCCACGATTCTACTGTTTGATCCAAAGGCAGGGCTTCTCCAGATTCTGTGTGGCAAAGTCTTAATTTCTGAAAATTGGAAGGGGAGGAAGTTAATCACTTTTAAATCCAAATATTTGGAATTCCCACAATATTGCTTCAATTGATTTACCTTGGCTGTGGTTTTGTTGTTGTCATTTTTAAGGCTTGCTAAGCAGGCTGCAGAATCTATTGCTTTTCCAATGCTCCATTTGCTGCAAATGTACATGGGTATACTTTTATTTTTGCTTCCTTTGGGTAAAAATACTTGGAAATATATTCTGTCTGTCTATAAGAGAAGAAAACAAGGTGCAGTGTTAAAATAGTTCCTAGTTGCATATTCCATTTACTTTATTGCTTTAAAAGGAACTTTTGCATTTTTCCACCAGTGCATAATAAATTGCTCACCCCAGAGCTATAATTTTAAGACAAATTCCATCTTTGCTCTTCACTTCAGAAAATCTACATAAGTGTTGTACCTTATGATTCTTGACTCTTGGAGAATGTATCTTTTCTTTTATGTACATTGAGAGCATTTGCACCAAGACAAATTCCTTGTGTGTCCAATCACACTTGGCCAATCAAGAATTCTATTCTACATCTTACAGACAAGCAACAGTGCCCCCTACCACTTTTGAAACAAGTTTGAGGGATTAGGAAAAAAATGTTAGAGAATGAATACTGTAGTTATTCAGAAATGTATTTGTTTAATCCATAAGCATGATTTACCTGCGGAACAGACTTCTCTCCACATGCATGCATTTTTAGTTTCATCAGGGCCACTTTCGCAGCTGTTTCAGGGTTCTTGGCTCCTCTGCATTTTTTAATTGCAGTCACTTCTTTTTTAGAATCTAAAAATATACAGACATTTACTGGGTTGAATTACCTATCCCTCTTTTTTTTCAAAATGTTGTGGGCAGTTGTCTTGGAACAAAGTGCTGCCTCTCCTTTCTTGTGTGTTTAAGATGCAGTCTCTTGCCTGATCTTCAAATCCTGACAGTTGCCAATATTCAACATGTGTGATTGAGAAGTGACAGCAATGAAATCTAAAGGAAGAGATGCTTAGGAATTCCTTAGTAGGAGAAAAGAAGCTTTTATGTTACTGTGTTTAATATAAAATACTGTGGAACGGCAGTATCATTAATGAAAAAAGGCTTTGAGTTATACTATAATCTATTCTTGCAGATTTCAATATGTAGCAAAGATAGGGAGCATGATGTCCATGGACACCCAAGTTCCCAGAGTGCCATGTGTTTCTTTTCATTTTTTAAATTTTTTTAAAGAAGCGGGAAATTGCCATGCTGGAAAACAAATTCCAGCCTCCAATGTAATCCTTATTTATATTGTAAATACTATATGGGGATTATAACTCTGGGCCTACTTGGAAAAAAGGTAAACACTGAAGTATGAAGAATGGAGTACTGTTTTGCTACATTCAGTTCAGAAGACAGGCTTCAAATTCCCATTATAGTCAACTGAGTTTACAGAACGCAGCTTAGCCTCTGCAATACTTTTGAAGCAGGATTTATTCAGCTAGAGGGCATGGATCACTGGATATGTGCTCTATTCTAACAATATTTTAAAAAATCCTTCTGTACTTACCTACAATATCTTTAATCAGTTGCCGAGTGCCAGTCATACGAGCTTGAGGGATTTCCAATTTCTCACACTCATGGTCTGACTGATGACGGTGCCTGGAAATAATAGACTGCCAAATATTCACTAGATACTTTACAGAACAATAGATAAGATTTATTCAGATCATTGCCTTTGCTCACCTTAAACAAAATTGTTTTTCACAGTAAGCGCATAAGACGGGTACAAGTTCTCTTCCATCACAACCTTTATACATGCATGGAAATGATTTGTGATAATCCAGTTTCATATTTTTGTTTTTTAGATTTGCCTAAGTGAATTAAAAAATACCATTTAAAATCTTATTTCAAAGATCAAATTATATATTGAAATTATAAAAGTTCGTAGTTTAAACTAAATGTACACTATTTAAAATAAACTACCTGGTGGCAACAACCTGAGAGGAAGTAGCTAGTTCAAATTTAGATATAATGCCAAACTATACCAGTTAATCCTTTGCTTAGATGCTCCTTCTCCCCCTGTGAACTCCTGGATATATAAGAGTCATCAAAATAATTTGAATACCTGTCCTACAAACCTGGAGTACAACTTGACTTAATAGCTCTTTGTAGGGTAGACACAAGCCATAACTAAACTACATAGCAAAAACAGGTATCTTGCAAACCATCTTTTGCAAATCCTGGTGGCACAGTGGTTAGAATGCAGCATTGCAAGCACACTGACGTAGCCTGAAGTTCGATCCTAATGGGGCTCAAGATTGATTCATCTTTCCAAGATTGGTAAAACTGTTGGGGACAATATGCTGACACTATAAACCGCTCAGAGGGTGCTGTAAAACACTGTGGATTGATATATAACCTCACTACTGTTAAGCTATTTACTTGAAACCTTTGGTTTTACCATTTTACTTTTTGGAGCAGTTCCCTGACTCTGGCAATTGGTCTCCCTTTGGTGCTCTGTCTATCCAAATTGCTAGCTAGAATTCCATCAACTGGTCAACAGGAAAGTATAATTAATAGTAAAGGAAGCCAGGTAATAGTTGACCTTCAAACTATTTGTTCTTCCCCAAAGATGGGATTAGAAAAATAGCAATAGCACTTAGATTTATATACCGCTTTACAGCCCTCTCTAAGCAATTTACAGAGCCAGCATATTGCCTCCAACAATTGGGGCCTCATTTTACCCACCTCGGAAGGATGGAAGGCTGAGTCAACCTTGAGCCTGGTGAGATTTGAACTGCCAAATTTTAGATAGCTGGCAGTCAGCAGAAGTAGCTTGCAGTACTGCACTCTAACCACTGTACCACATAATATTTTGAGGCTTAGCTGAAAACTGTTTTCAACTGCTGCAGTGAAAGAAAATATTACTTTCATTGCAAACAGACTATGTTCACAGTCTAATTCACAATAATGTCCTCACTTGGTCAGCTCTTCTAAACTATATAATCTAAGAGACCTTTTTTTGCAGGCATAATTTAGCAATACGACAACCTGGATAAGAAAGTTTTGCTTGCAAAATTTTTTTAAACAAATATAAAGAATATGAATTTCTCTTACTAGGTAAAATGTTCATAAATATAACTTGCAACAAATTAATTCTGAATTATTAGCTTACCTCAGAACAACCATGAGCAGTCAGACTTCTGTGTTGAAGGCTTAAAAAAAGTTTTACAGAAACAGAAAATGCCATCATTATGAGTAATAATAGGATTTTATGAAAGAGTGACTTAGTCTTTCTTAAACTCCACTTGAAATGAAACAGTATCATGTAATGTTTACTACTTAAAATTTATTCTTTCCTTTCTCATTTCCATATATTTTCTCTACTCTTCTTTACAATACTATCCCAAATCTCTAAAAATAGTCTATATTGCTAGACTATACCTTAATAATTAATAATATAATTACCAGAAGACTCCTGAGCAGCCATCACATACAAAAGGGAGAAAATCTAATATAAAAGAAATAGATAGGTATAATTATCATACTGATAAAACGTAAGTTGGAAGATCTATTCCATACGAACACATTACTGGGCAATTTTCTATGCTAAATGGAATAAACTTGAGGCCAAACTGCAGAATTAACTAGGTATTCTTAAGCACGCTGTTTTTAATTTGTTGGATTTAAAGAGGTTTCAGTCATAAATTCTGAGTAGTATACTGGCATTTGGAAATGAGGTTGAAAAAATGTAATATAATTTTTTAAAATGTCATAGAATACAGTACAGTGACATGTATGCTACCCTTATTGAAATACAATTTACTAATTTAATTGCAGTGGATTGTGGTTTTGTCTTTAAAACTTTTAAATAACAACAAAAAAAGAAAGGTAAATTGGTGTTTCCATCTTGCATGGTTTAATAAGAGTCACTTTTGTTTCCTAATTTTATCTTTTTATAGTTACAGGAACATAATTTTTCAATAGCTGTATAGTCCCTGTGTTAAATTCTCACAGGGTTGTAGTTGTTATGGGGAGCATTGTATAACTTTCTTGAAGAGCGTGCAGGTTATGAATCTAATAAGACACCAAGAGAATTTTCAATAATACGGTATAAAAGTGTATATTGAAACAAAATAACACTAGACAAATACTAATATGAACAAATAATACTAAAGAACAATATGTTATGATAAATGTAAACTAATTTTGGAACATTTTGCAGAAAGGCAGGATTACAATGTCAAATATGTGTGAATAAAACTCTTCTCCCCTTGTCCAATTTTCATAAAACCTCTGGCCCACAAGTGCTTTGTTTTTGAATGACTGGGATGATTTTCAGTAGATCAGAGTTAAAGTTATCAATAGGTAGAAAAAATGGGTTTTTCATACCACCTAAAGTAAGCTAAAGATGGAAGCAAAGTGAAACTTTTAAGGCTAGAACTGCGAATACATGTCTGTTTAAAAGGCCTCCTTTGGGTGTACTAAAGATAGGCAGAGTTCACTTGGTTCCTTATTTCTACGTTTTACACACGCATCTATTTTTTGTTAAGGACTTTTTAAAACAAGTATAAAAGAGATCAAATCATAATATATATCTAATATATATTATATATATATTATATATATATTATATATATATTCTGAGGTTCTCGGGGGTATTAGTATGTGGATCTTTGGTTATTCGGTTTTCTCCCGCATAAGATTGGAAGTATCTAGGCAACGTTTCGATGAAGTCTCATTCATCATCTTCAGGCTTGTGTCTTCGGCTCTGTGCTTCTCAGAGAAGATATATATATATATATCCTGATGATGGCAGATGAGATTCTGCCGAAACGTTGCTACAACTTTAAAAGCACAACTACAATGACGTGGGAAAATACTCGAACGAAGCTGAATGCCATACATGTAAGTACCCGTGAAAACTTATATATATATATATATATATCTAAGTATAGTATTTAAAATCATACATTGCAATGTCCTACCAGTCAATGAATACTTCAGCTTCAACCAATAGAGAACTGAACAAGAATACTTCAGCTTCAACCAACCAACCATAACACAAGAGCAAATACATACAAACTCAAGGTTAACCGCACCAAACTTGATTGCAGGAAATACGACTTCAGCAACAAAGTGGTCAATGTCTGGAATACTCTACCTGACTCTGTTGTTTTTTTCCCCAACCCCAAAAACTTTAACCTTAGACTGTCTACTATTGACCTCACCCCTTTCCTAAGAGGTCTGTAGGGGGCCTGCATAAGCGCACCAACGTGCCTACTGTCCCTGTCCTATTGTTTCTTTTATATTGTTTCATTTTTCTTATATGTATCCATGTATTCATAACTATGTTTTTACTTATACCTATTATCTTGTAAGCAATTGACAAATAAAAAATAAAAAAAAAACACGTGTGGTCATTCCTGTAAGGTTTTTTTTTAAAAAAAGAAATTAGCTTTTCACTACATTCATAACCACAAACGCCCTTCAGCTGCATCTAACCAGCAGGCAAGCAGGCAGATTCATAGAAAGAGCCCTCGGCTTTCCGATCGCCTTGCCTCCACTCGACTAGCTCTCGTGGGAAGGTAGAAACACCAAGCCAAGTGTGGGAATCGTTTGACGCTGAAATTCCCACGGTGACAAGTAGCCAATTCAGAGGCAAAAATGTTTCGCGGTAAAAGTTGCGAGCCCTCGAAATACTTATGTGGGTCCAATTCCATCCCGAAGTTGCTCCCGGCCGATCACTCCTAGTCTCCTAGCTAAACCTCCAAACAAAACGCTCTTACCGAGCTGTTTACACTCTTCAACCCCGCAATGCTGCCCGATTTCCAATTCCGCCATGTTTCTCAACGGCGCATGTGCACACCGCCACTTTCTTCCGGGAACACTGAAGTCTGTATTCCACCCCTTTCCTTTTCCCTTCCCCATTGCTTGAACCTAATGAGAGGCGGGATCGCCCCTGACATCAACCGAAGGGTAAAGCTTGTGCGGTGACTCCATGTAGTTATCCCAGCAACAACAGCGAACTGATTTTGTTTCCTTCCGGAGATTTTTCGGTTTCCCATTCTGGACTTCAGTTTAGGATTACTTAGAAGCCTCTCGTTCACTTCTGACAAACTATGAAATGAACTTGTGATGCAACAAGAATCCATTGCCTTACGGATTGTTTCTATTTTGTGAACTAAAAAAATAAAATTTAATAAACATTCAAAATCACTCAGGAAAAGTGCATGTTTTTGTTTTTGTTAATAAAGCAAATAACTGGCTTGTTAATAGTATATGCGAGACGGGAATGGGGATAATTTGGGATTGTGGTTGATCACAATTTAATATGAATCAGCAGCAAAGCCGCTGCCTTGACAAAATGTAGTTTGTAAAAAGTGGGAAGAGTTCTATATTATGTACTAGTCAACTTTCAGCTGAACATTATTGCATTCAGTTCTATATATACTATATTTTTAGAAAGATTTAGAGAAGTTCCTGAAATAAGTTGTCAAGGCACAAAAGTAGAGAATCAGTGGACCAGTAAGTAATATAAAACTGGATGCATTTTAGAACCATATAGTCTTTGAAAATAATTTAGAAAAAATTGTTCATTTTTCTTGTTCAGTTCTCTATTGTGCATTAAAGGAGCCTAAACATATGTTGCTACTTTAAAGAACTACATTATGACTCAACTCCTTAAAGTGGCGCTATAAAGCAGTATAATGTCATTGAAATACATTACTCTTTTTTAATGTCCAGGAGAGGTAATATCTAATGAAAACTATAGAGCACATTTTTCAAAGTGCACAGAACATCAGAAACTCTTTTTCATTATTGTAAAGCATAGCATATGGAATAATAAACTTGTAGGAAAATTCCAGTTGAGTATTAGAGAGACAAAAATACCTTTGGTAATTGTGAGTTCCTTTTTTGTGGATGTATTCAAACAGAAGCTGGACAGCCATCTGTTTGGGATGATTCAGTTTGAATTCTTAAAATACCTTCCACTGCTACAGTTCTTATAAAATGTTATAAATTTTCTTGCATTTTAAAACACATTAATTCTAAGAGTCTTCCTGGACTTTGCTATGTATTAGATAATGTTAAAGCGTGTTGTAATTTTTTCACAAGAGATTCAACATAGCTACCTGTGTGGAATCTACAGAATCTACCAGCCTACTAAGAACTGGTGAAGAAAGTTATACCCATCATAAATCTTTAACTTTTCAGTTAGTATTTCACTAAAGACTGTAGTTGAATGCTTTTAATCTCGTTTATCCCAATGGCAATCAAGTTTTACTTTTAGTTACAATGTGCATTGGACTTTAACCCCATGTTCAAAGTTTCACAGTAAAAATGCAACAGTGGTGGGGTTTGAAACAGGCCTGTGATTTCTGTGAATTACAGCAAAGACTTAGATTTAGAATAACTTTGTCACTTGAATGCACACTAATCGTCATACATTAAAATTAAATTTCATACACCTCTCAAGGGTCACCACCTCCAACATACACTACAATAAACTATACAAACTCTCTTTTAAGTATTGCTTAACTCTGGAACAGCATGCTTCTGCACCTATGCTGAAAATACATTACTATTTATCCAAACTTCAGGAACAGGAGTTTGTTACAGTTCGGGACGCATGTTCCAGTGGGGGGAGCAAGTCCAGACTGTCCACTTTACAAAGTCACCGTTTCTCCTTTTTACTGGGCGTGCGGCTTCCTTCCCGAGCCATTTTAGGGTTTCCGCGGTCGCGGTTGCCGCTCGAGAAAGGGTGAGACACATCTCCGCTTGCAACACCTGTCGCAGGTGCGCTTGGGTCACGTGGACCTGCCGTCGGTCTTAGGAGCCGCGCCAGCTTCCTTCCTTTTTAGGCGTTTCTCCGCTTACGCGACCGGACCGGATTAGGGAATGCGGATAGAGTTGCCCGCCGCTCGTTAGTTCTCGGGGGGAAAACAAAACAAAACCCCCCCGAAAGAGTGGGAGGTATTCAGGCCGCTTTCCATTAAGACGGTGGCGATTCGGCGGACCGAAGATGAGCAAGATCCAGAAGTTTTTCAAGGGCGGCGGCGGGGGGTCTGGCTACTCCAAGGGGAAGGGGAAAGGGGGGCCCACCCCGCAGGAGGCTTTAGCGCGGCTGCGGGAGACGGAAGAAATGCTGACCAAGAAGCAGGAATACCTGGAAGCCAGGGTCGCCAAGGAATTGGCCCTGGCTAAGAAGCACGGCACCCGAGACAAGCGAGGTAGGTTTTCTCCAGGAAGCAGGCCTTAATCTGGCAAATCAAGGTGATAAAGATCGCTGAGATGTTTGGGCTTTAGGAAACGAGCCCCTCGAGCTTGTACAAAAAGCCTCATCGGATAAATCATCGTTCGAACTCTTGGGCTTTAGGGAGTTGTCCACGACTTTAAAAAGTATCGTTGTTGGGTTGGTATGGGGAAAGGCAGAAAGTGACTTTGTATTGCAAAATCTTGCATCGGGAGCTTTTTCCTTAACTAGGTGAAAGACTTTAACTTTACAACTTGGTTCAGTGGTTTCTTTTTAATACACTGCAAGAAGTTGGAGGTTGGTCACGGTCGTTTTTAATTCTGGTGCTTGAATTGCATTGCTTGTACTTAGCTTTTACATTTTGGCTGCAGTTGTTGAAAGATATTTGTGTCACAGTAAGAATTGGCTTTGTTCACGTGACTGAACAAAGTTATAATTTAGGGCTGGAGATTGTTGTTTTTCCATCAGTGAGTTCGGACTTGGCTGTTACTATATTTGAAACTCACCCTCCCCTTTGACAATCATAATGTGTGGCTCTACCCAGGATGAAAATGCTTTTTTTCCTATGTATAATGTTTCCTTTTTTGTTTTCACATCTCATAGGGGATATCAGCCTCAGTGAAATAAATTTAAACACTGAGTTTAAAGATCTTGTGTGCCCCCTTCTTACATTCCAGATATTTCATTGTTGGGCTTAATTCTAAAGGTAATCACCACCCCTACATTAAAAGACTTTTCAATGCTAACCTGAGGGCTTTATTACCAGAAATCCTTCCTATGTTGCCCCCCCACCCCCAATTTATTTCCCAGGAATAGAAACTTCCACAAGACTTCTCCACCTTTCCCCTGAGCTATTTTGAATGCTTCTATCTCTTTCAAGATTGCTTTGTATGTGCACTTAATACCAGCTAGGAAGGTTTGATTATGGATTGTTAAATAAATAAGTTGACTTCAGCAATTACAGTAATAGATTTTTTTTTCTCTTTGTTTAATTGTATTCAGAATAATGTCTTGTTTTTGGAATAAAGCTTTTAAGGTTTTCTACTACTGTAATTACCACACCTAAGTTTGTTTTGATCTTGTTTAGGGCATTGCTTATGCTGCCTTTGTTAAGGATCCTTATGTAAGGATAGTTGTGATTTAACAAATCCAATTCATGAGTAGGATGTATTTCTCAATTAATTATGTGCCATTGAGTTGTTTTTGACTCTTAGTGTCCACATAGATCAAGGGACTTCAAACTTGGCAAGTTTAAGACTTGTGGACTTCAACTCCCAGAATTCCTGAGCTAACATGACTGGAGGAAAGATTCTGGGAGTTGAAGTCCACAAGTCTTAAAGCTGTCAAGTTTGAAGACCCCTGACATAGATAAATTTCCAACTGACATTTGTCCCTAACCTGGACTTTCAGGTATTCCAACATTCTTTTTAAATAACATTTATTCATGGTATAAACAAAGTAGAAGCAATGGAACCATCTAGGTTTTTAGGATTCGGGTGTGAAATTTTATATGAATGCTTAAAATGTCACTTGTGTGAGAATTAAGTAATTTGTATAAGATTATATACTAAATATATCATTACATTTCCCTTTTCTGTTTCAAATCATTGGAACTAAACAACTCCCTCCAAGATAAGACATCTGTGGGAGTGGGGTATATTGAGAAACTCAAGATGGCAGCTGCCATCACAGAATTGAAAGTCTGCCTCTTTTGTACATGTGGTGAATGTAAAAATGCATGTGTAACATATAGAAAATGGAGTGGGGCTTTATTTACTTACCTGCCATACTATATAATTTTTTTACCCTGCCCCTTTCATCAATCTTCTTTTAAAGTAAAGGGCTGCAAAGCCTAACATTTTTAAAAAAACTTGAAGATAATGTTGAAATTGGGGAAAAAGCACTGATTTGACATGGGTATGATTAAGAATGAGGTTGGGCTGTCTCACTCATGAGGTGATAGCAAAGTCATTGGGGCAGGAAAGAAAAAACGTCATCTGTATATTTGTATTGTGGTTAAATGCAATCAGGAAAAAAAAATGAAATAGATATGTTTTGAAATAAATCATTGTGTTTTACATTGTGCTACTAAAGCAGTAGTCTAAAGATGCAATGTTATGGTCCCCAGGGCAGTATAAGGATGCTGCAATGGTCATACATGTGAAAAACAGTCATAAGTCATCACTTTTCTCAGTGATATTGTTACTTCAAACAGTCGTTAAACAAATAGTTATACGTGTACAGTTTTTAATAAAAAATAGATTTATTTAGCTTTTCAATAAAGTAGAATCAATGCTTTTGTTATATTGAAGGTAGCTAGGAGAGCATTGTTGCAAGGCATTGTTATAATATATACAATTATATAAATTTCATACACACTTCCTGAAACTATTTTTATTGGGTAGCAAGAATGGATCGGCAAGTACAGAAAAAACAGCTGTAGAGTTCTAATTTTAGATTACATTTCATCCCACTATGAACTATGTGACACTGGATATTATAAAATCAATTTAGTTTTAACAATCAGGCTTGGTTGGTTTTTAACTGTACACTGGCCAGAGTCATTCAGACAGAGAGATAGATGGTACCTGCATTGACAAATAAAATGTTTGCCCTCTAAGGATAGAGGGAAAATTCTAATTGTGTACCGGGAAGTCTGAGATATTTCACTCCTTGTGGCAGTTTGTGTCCTAGTTCAGAAGGGCCTGACTTTAAAAACTCTTTTAAGAGAATCTTCAGGATTGGGCAGGGTAAGCGAGCAAAGTCTTGGATTCAAGACTTCCAAGTTTCCTTCATTCCTTTCGAGTCCTTTTTTTTTTTTTTTGAGCTGTAAAACCCACTTCAACCATGATCAGGTATGTTTTCTACCATATAAAATGAGAAAACATGCTAAAGCTACAGCAGAATTG